AATGGTAGCATCATACTCAGTGGTGGAAGGCTGGAAGTTTATATTGTAAGATCCAGAACAAGACAAGAATATTCACTTTTGCCACTTCTGTTGAACACAGTATTGTTGAATAGTATTGAACTGTGGTGTTGGAGAAGACTCTTGAGAGTCCTTTGGACTGCAAGGAGATCCAACCAGTCCATCCTAAAGGAGATCAGTCCTGGGTGTTCATTGGAAGGACTGATGCTAAAGCTGAAACTCCAATAAACTTTGGCCATCTCATGCGAAGGGCTGACTCATTTGAAAAGACTCTGATGCTGGGAAAGATTGAGGGCAGGAGGAGAAGAGGATGACAGAGGATGAGATAGTTGGATGGCATCACCAACTCAATGGACATGAGTTTGGGTAGACTCTGGGAGTTGGTGATGGACAGGGAGGCCTGGCGTGCTGCAATTCATGGGGTTGCAAAGAGTCCGACACGACTGAGTGACTGAACTGAACTGAACTGATTGAAAGTTCCAGTCAGATCAATTAGACAGAAAAAGAAATAAAAAACATCCTAATTGGAAAGGAAGAAGTAAAATTATCTCTGTTCACAGATTATAATGATCTAATATGTATAAATCATAAGATTCCACAGATATACACACAACTATTTAAACTAATAAATGTATTCAACTAAATCACAAGATAAAAAACCTATGTACAAAATTCACCGTTGCATTTCTATGCACCAACAATGAACAATGAGAAAAGGAAATTCAGAAAATGATTCAAATAGAATAAAATACTTAGGGATAAACATAACCCGGAAGGCAAAAGACTTGCACACTGAAAACTACACAACATTGCTGAAAGAAATTAAAGAAGGCACAAATAGATAGAAAGACAAACTACATTCATAGATTGGAAGACCTGATATTTTTAAAACATAAATACTATCCAAAGTGATCAATATATTCAATGCAATCCTTATCAAAATTCCAATATTTTTTTAAAATAGAAAAATCTATCCTAAAATTCATATAGCAGTGGCTCAGGAGTAGGAAGAGGGCCCAATGGGGCCAATGGGGAGTCAGTGTCTTATGAATACAGAATTTGAGCTGGAAAAGATGAAAAATGTTCTGGAGAAGGATGGTAGTGATGGTTGCAGAACAACGTGGAAGCAGTGACAGCCTGAGCCTGCAAGACTTTGACCAGACCACCACTTGGGTCCTGGGCATGTCTGGGTTACCACTTCTCTGTCTAGTAGCAAAGCTAGCCTGTTATAAAAAGCAGTGCAGTTAGCAGCTCCAGTATGGGCTCTGTCTCCCTTCCCTTTTGTAAAACCAACTTTTAGTTAAAATACCCAGGAATGATTTCCTGAACCACATTTACTTTCTCTTCCTGTGTCAGGATGGCTACTTTGTTGAAGTATGAAAACCTGCTACTGCTATAGAAAGGCTTTCTGAAACTACCGAACTGTTCTGAAGCCCTTAGTTGGGAATACCCCTGTGGTCCAGTGGTTTTAATAAAAATTCCACACTTCCAATGCATGGGGCTTGGGTTGAATTCCTGGTGTGGGAACTAAGATCCCATATGCCTCATAACATGGCAAACAAACAAAAAAAAGAATCCCTTAGTTGCTTCAAGTGGGAGCTGTGTCTTTCTTACACTGCCAGCTTTGTTAAGGGAGAGGGAGAGACAAGAAACACAGCACCATTCATCTAGGAAGAGGGCAGAGTTGAGTCTGATGTGTAGTGATAAAAGAACAAAGTAGAAACCCTTCTCCTTCATATATTCCATCCTTGTCTTCCCAAGGCTAAAATGAGAGTCTCTTCCATGTGCTCCTATGGCATCCGGTGTTGACCCATTAGCCTTCTCATACTGCACTGACTCTGCCTGTTTACCCAACTGTATCTCCTCCCACTAGAATGTAAGCAGCTTCACAGACTGTATCTTAACCTCTCTTGGTTTCTACCACTAGGGCTGTCGTGGCACAGAGTAAGAACACAGTACTTCTTGGCTGAAAAAGTCAACATCCTACTTCTTCCGTTGACTCTACAGTCCAACCCATTATAAGACTTTTCTACTTCAAGACCACTAAGAAAGAAAAAAATCATTATCAGAAGATAGCAGCAATTATAAGACACATTCCAAGTTTGGGATTGTTGTCACCATCCTGGATGAGGGGAAAGACCACCACGAAAGGTTGAAGACTAACTGGTACCACTTCATAAATACAGATGTGCACACATCTATTTACATAAATGAAAACCTTTCCTTTTTAATTAGTTCATTTGGTCTCCCTATCTTGAGCCATCCTGCTCAGGCCAGATGTTGTTTCAAATTTAAATGACTCACCCCCCTGTCTAAACCCCAGGAAACTAAAGACAAATAGAGGGACTCATTTCTCAGCTATGGTTATGTTCTGGGGCTGAGCTCTTTTTTTTTTTTTAAAGAGTATTATTTGTTGCCTCTACCAAGACAGCTTAAGTGATGAGGATCAGTGCATCCAAAAAGGAAATATTTTTGCCTCCAGGCAAGACTGTAATAAAAAAAGCTCATTCATCATCTGCTGAGGAGAAACATGTCACAACAAAATTACTAGGTAATGAAAAATCTGGGCAGTCCTGTGGCACTTCTAATCGTAAGATCTCAAAACAATCCCACACTGTTGTTCACAAAGCCTTGTCATCAGCCGGACACAAAGTAGGAAGCATCTCTTTCCATAGTGTTGTACACTATAAAACTAAGAGAAAACCATGTTAAGCAAATTAATAAAAATAACTACTATTATATGCACAGATACATTTATATATAATTATATACACATACATGCACAAATAAAATTTTAATTAACTGCAAATCAAGTGAGATTACATAAGAATACTTGTAAATCCTCAAACATCACACAAATAATAGTAATAATAATAAGCAGTGGAAGCTTGTTATAATTCAGGGGATAGACTGGAATCAAACAGAACTGGGCTTTAATCCTGGGTCACTTCCTCCCTCTGTGAACTAGGGCAAGCGTCTTACCCTCTCTGAGCATCAATGTTCTCCTCTGTAAAATGGGAATCATAAGAATAGTCCCCTCTCTGTAACCAGGTAACGATGGAATATTCTGTGTAAAGCACTTAGAAGAATGGCTGGCATACAGCAAGTACTCTGTAAATGTTAGCTCTTCAAATCTGAACTAAAGAGAAGCCGCTTACCATGCCCATGGAACCCCCTTCTTGTACATCTTGATAACTGAATTTTGCAGTGTTCCCTTTCATCACTCCCAGTTTGATCTTGCCTTCCTTCCTACTCTGTTTGGAACCCAGAGTCCACTGTGGGATCCTTTCTTCTCTACCCCTCCCACCCCACCTTCCTGTTGTATCTTCTGTGACCATCCTCAAGCCCAGATAATTCCAGTGGCCTCTCAGCTCCAGTCTTCCCAACTTTAATCCCTCCTACATGGGTCCATCTCTTTATCTTCCCAGAATGAAATCCCAGGCATGACATTCCCCTGCTCAAAATTCTCAAAGCTTCCCTACTGCCTTCTCATGATAGCATTCAAACCACTTTGGGCCTCATTTTACTTTTCCAGATGTCTCTCCAACTTGGCCACCTGATGCACCTGCCTATTCCTGTGCTGCATCCCCCCACGTTCAAGCTTCTGTCCACACAATTTCCTTTTCTGGCAAGGGCCTTCCCTTCATCTCTGCCTTTAAAAATCCTAACCCTCTTTCTAGACCCATCCCAAATTTCACTTCCCCTGAAAAATGTACCTTTCCAGACACTCCAACCTCCTTGAACCATCTTACATCTCTCTTTGGGGCACTTACATTCAGGCTTGCAGTGTGTGTGATGGCTGGTTCCATCAAAAGCCCTGCCTCACCTCTTTGGTCTATCCTTGGCTTTGCTCATACCAGTAGACAATAGATACGGTGTTACCCTGCTGTGTTTAATTGGTTATATTTGAATACACTTATTTATCCAGAACCCCTGTGTCACATATGCCTCTAAAACAGAAAGATGAAATCAAATCAACCCCTGTACTTGCTGTTATGTTTAGCAACATAGGGTGGGTGCTGAATTGCTGGAATCTCTACTCAAAAGAAATTCTTACAGCTCATTAAAATAGTACATCATAAGTTCCTTTGACTAATGCAACAAATATAATCTTTGCCATGACATCCACTATGCTGACTATAGTATTACTGTAAAAATATCTTACTCTGGATCTGGGTATAAACTGAGAAAACTGAACAAAAATTATTTGACGTTCTGTTTTGGATTTTGATTTAGAAAAAAAATTACAGTTCTTGCTCTAACAGATGGCTTGGTGAAATCCCTGGTTCAGTCTCAGAATAGAAAGATTGTGGACAGTAGAGCTGAGTTTCAGTCCTTTAATATAAGCCTGTAGAATGTCAGATGAAACTATTTTTAAAATCATGTTTTGACCCTGTCTTCACTCTTTGTCAGTTTTCACTGCTTAATGAGACTTCTTAGGTTCAAACCAGCAAGTCAGATGAAAAGTGATTTTGTTAGATTAGATAGAAAAAATAATCTTAAAAAAAATCAGAATATCTTAATAGTGGATCCTCTCATTTTTTTCAATCCAGTTCTAAGCAAAATGGCCAGGAATACAACCCCAAAATGCTCAAGGAGTATCTTTGGAAAACATCATTCAAGAAAGCCTACCTCTATACTGCCTCTCCAAATTGAGATTACCATGAACTCTGAAATGATTTTATAGCTCAATCCAATAAGAATATTTAAGTTAAAATTCAGTAATGCCATAAACAGGAAAGTAGATATATGAATAAATAACTGCCTGTTAAAAGCAGCAGCACCATTTCTTTCTTCCCCCAAATAACTCCCTTCTTCTGCCTGTAAGTCTCAGAAAATGATCACTTCCTCTTACTAGTAAGAGTTCCTCCAATGTTTTACTCACTAATAATACTAAACAGGTTCGTTTCCATTTGTTCACCAAACACGAAATTCTCTCCCAACTCCATTTCTTCTACAATAGCATTGGAAACACTCACCACTGGCATTTCAATAATTGATGGTCTGGGAATAGAAGGCTGAAAAGTAACTGCTTCATGAACTGATCCTCCATCCGGAGACCCAGGCAGATCCTCAGGGGTGTCAGCGGGCTGGACGGCAGAGTGGTTGCTTGAATTCCGGTTTGTGCTGCCATTTGTCTCTGAATGGGCACCTGAATCTTGCCTTTTCTCTGCAGTGCCTTCTTCACCTCGCGGGTGACTTGGGTGTCGGTCTGCTTTGGCCTTGGGCTGAACATGGATGGTGGAACAGGTTTCAGCTGCGCTGGCCTGATCTAAGGGAGCAGTCTCCCTTGTGTTCCCAAAACAAGCAAGCAGAGCCGAGCATGGGAACGGATGCATCCTTGCAGACGGAGACTTCAGTCTTTCAGCCAGCCTTGCCTTCCACGTGGACATGACCTGCAGAGGAACATTGCAGAGTTCACAGGGAAAGGAAATTTTGCAGGGATTCTGATCACCTCATAGCAACTGTTTCATTGCCTGAAGAGGACTTTTAGCGGTTGCCCCCGAATAGAAGGTTAGGAAATGGCCGGGACACCCGCCCTGAGAATCACTCGGCAGTTAACACCTGCTTCGGACGCGTCCATCCCTGGTGATTTCACGCTCTTCCTTCCTTGATGCTGTCAGTGGCTAAAGAAAGCTGTCTGTGAGGCATGTGGTTGGCTTGAGTTACAGTCCCTGGGCAGGGCAGACGCTTCAGTGTAAGTAGTGCCAAGTCAATGGACAGCTGCTTCAGATTACCTTGGAGGCATAAAGATAATGTAGCTGATAGCATCCGCCATAATAGCGTCAGTCCACGTATCAATAACATCACAACAGCCACGTAACCTTCTTCAGTTACCCCCTTCAAATATTTATTCCCCCCAACAAAACAAAACCACCCAGTTATCCATCATGAATGAAGACCCCCAAGAGGGTCCTCGACCCTGATAGCTGCTTCATTATTAAAATAGGAGGTAGACTTGAACCTTTTGTCTGGAGAGGTCCATGTTGTATCTGATGTTTCCAGGACTTTTTTTGATCTTTTCTGAATCTTCTCCCAAATAGGCTTCCAGTATTCAGGATCCATATTGTCCCTCTTCTAACTCTAAATAAGACTTTGCTAATTTGTTTTATTCCTGGAGTAGGAAATGGCAGCCTGCTCCAGTATTCTTGCCTGGGAAATCCCATAGCCAGAGGAGCCTGGCAGGCTACAGTCCATGGGTTCACAAAGAATAAGACATGAATAAGCACACAACACACACAAAATTTGCTTTTTTATGATCCATGCTAAGTCCCTGATTAATTTTCAACAACACCAAAAAAATAATAATAATAATATTTGTGATAGTGTGAGCACTTAACACAAATATTATGTATGTGTGAATGTGTGTTTTGTCCATCTACTATGTATATTACTTAGCTTTGGAAAATAATGCCCTTTTGAGCATAGATCTTCTATTTTTCAGCATGTGAGTGGTAAAAAATAATAAAATAATAAAATTAAAACCACATTCCAAGACAATGCTCAAAAAAATTGAGATTTTTTTTTTTTTTCCTTAGCCAAGCATCTGCTAGGAATGTTAGAGAAATATAGTACTGTAATGGTTTTCCCATTAATAGTGACTTTCAGGTCAAGATTTCAGGGTATATTGGCAATTCTAATTTATTGTTTTGCTCTCTCTTTTAATATAATGTCAAGATGTGCTTTTAAGCTCAAACAGGTGGTAGATCTGATATCATGAATTCCCATTTTGTGGAGACAGAAACTGATTCATTGAAATTTCAAGATTCTAATAGAAGATTAGGCTGTTGAGAAAGGCTGGTTGAAAGTTCACGACCCATGCTATTCTATCTGGTCTCTGAGCCCCACTGGACCTGACAAGCCTCTCACTGAAATAATAGGCTTTCCAGATGGCTCAGTGGTAGAGAATCCACCTGTCAATGTAGGAGACACAGAAGGCATGGTTTTGAACCCTGGGTTGGGAAGATATCACCTTAAGGAGGAAACAGCAACCCACTCCATTATTCTTGCCTGGAAAAGTCCCATGGACAGAGGAACCTGGTGGGCTGCAACCCATAATGTTGCAATAGAGTTGGACGTCACTGAGCACGCATTGGGAATATTGTCCCAAGCAGTCAGCCATATTCATAACACAGAGCTCAGATATGGTCGGAGGGAGAGTACATGCAACATCAAATGTGGACTTTAATTTTAGTCTTGACTAAATTTTGTAAATAAAATCTAAAAAGCTATCATTTACTTAAAGGCTACTGTGTAACAATGTCTGTACTAACCCAGGTATTTCAGACTTCCCAGGCTGGAGAGATTAGTCACCTTTTAATGCCAAGTGCAAGCAGTATAAATCCCTTTTCATGGAAGCAGGAAGTCCAGGCTTTTAGCAGGCTTCCCCACCAGGTATTCCTGAGCTGCCTTGGGACCTGTGTCTTCTGTCTTTTCGGCAGTGTTTGCTACCATGCCCTCAGGTGGGGTGACTCTGTGACCCTCCCTCCCGTGCTCCCCCTCCTCAGGACCCTTCCCCCAAGCAGCTCCCAACAAAGGGAGGCCCGTGGTTAACAAGACTTTATTGAGGCCCCAAGGTGGACAGGAAGGAATTCAAGAGGAGAAAAAAAGTCATTCTTAAACCTGGTTTTGTTCACCCATTCATTTATTCATTCAGCTATGTGCTAAGCACCTTCTAGAACAGCAGCTTTCCCGCGGCTATATTCTGTGGACTGGTGGGTAAGAAAGCTTTCAGGCCCCTCCCTGAGGTCTCCTGTCTTTCTCTTCTCTGCCCTGAACTTGCAGCCCTGCATGGGGACACCGTATCCTGGGTGGTACCCGCAGCACGCCCCCCTGCCCCCCGCCCCCAACAAGGAGCTTTCGCAGGAGCACAAGCCAGGGGGCAGCTCCAGCACTTGAGAATAGTGGCTTATTTTTATTAGTGTTGTTGTGAAGTCCAACCTAGAATAACAGCATTAACAGATAATGATTATTGAGTGTTTTTTATCAGACATGAACTTCAGCAGATTAACTCATTTAATCCTCATAACGCTAAGAGAAAGGTGATATTATTAATTCTCATTTTTACCCATTAGAAAAATGAGACACAGAAACTTAAGTAACTTGCCCAAGGTCACAGCATTGCCAAGGAAGAGAAGCAGGATTATGAACCCTGGCAGCTTAGCCCCAGAGTTCATGCTTTTAATTACTGTACAGTATCACTTTCCAAACACACACACATACTCCAAAGAGGAACTTCCTAATAACCTTCAATCCAACACTCTACCTCTAGGAATTTATTCTATTACTACAGATACACATGTGCATAGAAGTGTCTCCAAGAATGCTTATGGCAGCAGTGTTTGTAGTCACAAAGGTAATTGTTAATCAGTAGAAGACAAGATAACTTATAAGAAAATAGCCATATGATTGAATACAATGAAGCTATTAAGGAGAAGAATGTAGAGCCTTCTGGTTTAACATGATGTACTGGTGGAGCACCTGTATTTATATCATAGCCTTTCTAAGAAACCATTAGGATAATAGTAATGGAATCCTTTCAAAAGCTTAAGTTCCCAACACTAAATAGAATAGAAAGGAGGCCACTAATATACAAGTAAACTCAACAAGTTTCTTTAGAGCAAAAAGCAGATGAAACAGTATTAATTAATTTTTAAAATAAAGCAGAAGGCCAGCATACTGAATGGTACCTCAAGGAAGCTCTTGGCTTAGGTAGTAGAACTGAAGTGAGTAAAAGTTGCTCAGTTGTGTGTGACTCTTTGCGACCCCATGGACTATTCAGTCTGTGAAATTTTCCAGGCCAGAATACTGGAGTGGATAGCTGTTCCCTTCTCCAGCAGATCTTTCTGACCCAGAAATCAAACCAGGGTCTCCTGCATTGCAGGCAGATTCTTTACCAACTGAGCTATCAGGGAGGCCCGTGGAACTGAAGAGTAGGTCTGAAAATGTGGGTCTGGGTATGGAAGCCAAAGTTCCTATCCCTCTTCTACCTGCGGGAAGACTATTAAATAAAAGAATGAATGAATGAATGCACAAATAAATAAACAAATGAATAAATACAATACAAATTATGGTAGGAGTCAGGGTCTTATTTAAACATCTAAATTACTCAATGAACTGTGTAATCAGTTCTTATCTAAACTATTGATTGAATTGTTTAATGAATTAGTCAGGATAGCTAGTGTGGATATCAATATCAATATCCAAGAATATAGCCCCTCTTGTTCTTTATTTAGATACCACATCATAGCAGAAAGCTCACTGCCACTTCACTAAAAGTGAACAGGTCAGTTGATAAATCACACCAACCTTCACAGAGTTCGCTGTCAACTTCAAACTTCTCTCTTAAGTAAAATTACAAATCATAAGACATCACCAGACATGTGAGAAGAACTGTGACATCAATGATGACAACCAAGAAAAAGATCCAAACAGGCAAGGACAAGGGAATGTCAGGAGACTAGGCAACCACATCTGCCATTCAAAGGGCAAGTTTGCAGCAAGCTACACTGCCTCTAGATTCTGAGTGATGGGGGAGGGTAAAGGGGGAGAGTCTTTGCAACTTGAAACCAAGAACATTCTCTGAGTCTGCAGGAGTCACAACAGGAAGCTTAGAGAATCTGAAAACGTTCATTCACTCTGCTATAAAAACTGCTTACATAGCTATAATAAAATAAACAGGATTCACTTCTTGAACTCTCAGAATTAGTATATAGGCCAGTAGTGGCAAACTGGTGGCTCTCAAGTAAAATTAGGCCTCCAGAGGTGTTTTGTATAGCTGATGATGTTTTTAAAAATTTATTGCACCTCTTGTTAGATCACAGAAACTACCACTCTCTGTTTCCTTCACTCAGTTCACAAGTTTATGTAAACAGAACCCTGAAGAGTTTGTGGTCCAGGGTTGAGTTCAGTTCAGTTCAGTTCAGTTCAGTCGCTCAGTCATGTCCGACTCTTTGTGACCCCATGAATCGCAGCATGCCAGGCCTCCCTGTCCATCACCAACTCCTGGAGTTTACTCAAAATCATGTCCATCGAGTTGGTGATGCCATCCAGCCATTTCATCCTCTGTCGTCCCCTTCTCCTTCTGCCCCCAATCCCTCCCAACATCAGGGTCTTTTCCAATGAGTCAACTCTTTGCATGAGGTGGCCAAAGTATTGGAGTTTCAGCTTCAGCATCAGTCCTTCCAATGAACACCCAGGACTGATCTCCTTTAGGATGGACTGGTTGGATCTCCTTGCAGTCCAAGGGATTCTCAAGAGTCTTCTCCAACACCACAGTTCAAAAGCATCAGTTCTTCGGTGCTCAGCTTTCTTCACAGTCCAACTCTCACATCCATACATGACCACTGGAAAAACCATAGCCTTGACTAGACAGACCTTTGTTGGCAAAGTA